GTTGCTTATCACCTCACATTATTTTTATCCATGTATTCTCTGTAGTCTCCTCTCCCCTCCGCATAAATTAGAGATCCCTTTTCACACACTAATATGCCATATTGCTGAGGCCCAGCCACAATATTGATATGCTGGGCCACGCCATGTTGTCTTTTGACTGACATCACCTGTGTGGTATATATCACTGTCCCCTGACGGCCACATCTCATTTGTTGCTAGAGAAAATATTGTGGCTGGATTTTTTTCCTTCCACCTGTCTCATGACGGTTCCTGACTCACTCGCCCACGTAACTGCACACAATTCAGGCGTCTTTCAAGAACCAAGCTGCTAATTATTTTGGACTTCTGTCTTACAAACTGATGAAATCCCTCAAAGACAGACCTCTGAAACATGGCTTCTGTTTTGTTTTCTTACAATCTAATCTTCAGACTCTTCTGTCAGGAAAGATGGGAACCGTTTCTCAAAGACGGTGCACCCACCCATGAGAGTACTAGAACTGGGAGGAAACCGTGGAGTTCTCTGCACTAGTGAAAGGGGAAGGGGCACACACCTACACAGCACCACCTCCGAACCCCATGCAGGGCCACACACAGGACTCCAGTCCTTCGTTCCTTCCTTCCTCCCTCTCTTCCATTGTTGAGTTTTTAGTAGCTGAGAGCTTATATTATCAACTAAGCTTAATAATTACAAAGCAGGGCATTCTTTCTTTCTTTCTTTCTTTCTTGCTTTTAAAGGTAGGCAAAATGGAGTATCAAGTTACAATTTAATAGCACACTGCCTTCTTTGCCTTTGCCAACTTTCTGAGTTTTAAACATGTACCTGCTAAATATTTCACAATTCATGTAATTTTTAACTATTACTTGTATTTTAACCAAGCATCATAAAAAATGTGGAAGGACTTTATGTACCTTTTGAATATTTTTATTGCTTTTGCGATATGTATTTGACCGTTCTTAACCTTCGAATATTTCAGACACAAGCCCTCCTTTGTGACTGTGATTAGTTCAGGTTCAAGATCTCCAGGCATTTGGCCAGGAGATTTCACTGGATAAAATCTGCTTAATTAAATTAACAACAAATTGGTGGAGCACCTATTACTTCCAAGGAATGGTGCTACAAGAAGATAAAAAATGTTCTTCTGGATATATCTTAGTCCTGCTAACAGCAGTAGTGCTTTACAGTCTTTTTAGTGTGTTGGCTATAAACCCTTGCCTACTTTTTAAATTTCAGTAAGTTCTCTTTCATTTAGTGAATACTTACGTCTCTCTTCCTATGTGATGGAAATACATAATCCTGGATGGAAATCCAAAGGTGATTTTTTTCCTGGCTCCTGAAGAGTGCATGAGAGACAAACACATTAAAGTAAAATGATATTTCAATACAGCAAATGTATAGCAAGATGCTAAAGCCCATAACACACCTCCTGCAACTTCATAATAATCTGCTGAAGTGAGTCTCTTCTCTTTTCCTTGATTGGTTCTTACCCACCAAATATTTCCAGGAATTTGTCCTAGATAGAAAGATAATGTATTCTGCATATTTTGTTCTATTTTCTTATGTGGACTATGTTGTAAATGTTCATAGTTTAGGAATAAGTGCTCTGCCTCTGGGAGGGTTACAAGAAAAGACTCCCCATTTCCATAATCGATCATGAAAATATTTATAATCAAATTGGCTCCTCGTAAGAATTGTAGATTTCATTTTCATTGGAGGAGTTATATAAGTGCACAGTCATCCAAGGATGTCCATCTCCTCAAAAGGCCTCATCACATATTTCCTGAACTGCCTCCTAAATTATTTCCTATAAGTGATCTTGTGTGTGTGTGTGTGTCTGGTGGGGGTGGAGGGAAGAAGCCCTTCATTGCCTGTAGAATAAAATCTCCAACTCTACCATCAGCTTGACTTCTTCCCTTCCTTCCTTTTCTCCTTCCTTCATAAGGTCGTAAAAGGGGGTGTGCAGGTGGCAGCAGCCCAGGGAAAGTCATCTATGAGGGTGGCAGCTTATGCAGGTGGCAGCAGCCCAGGGAAATGATGGGAGACTGGAGGGGTGGGGGACCTACATGGGGTGGGAGGGAGGAAGGTAGGTGGCAACAGTGAAGGAAGATTGATTACATACGGGAATATAAACCACATGAGTACTATCTTTAAAATAAGGGAGCCAGCTTTCTTACTGATGGAAAAAAAAAAATTACATTAATGGAAAAACAGAAAACTAAAATAAGTCCTGTAGTATTTACTGGAATTGGAGATACCAGTGTGAACTAGTGTTCTGTACATATAGAAATACAGTTGAAGAGATGTGTTTATTTATAGATAAGTCAATAGATAGACACAACTATTATGCACATACACACACATACTGCCTTGCTCTGCCCATTGAGAAACCTGGGTATCAGAAGCATCAGAAGATCCTGGTTTTTAAATGTCATTCTTCACTAAAAGGAACCAGGGCTCTATGGAGAAATGGTTTTAGCTAGGACTGGTGAAACCTAGGTCCAATCTGAAATGCTTTGTTGTGCCACAAAGTAAAAAAGTAGTTTAAAAAGTGCAGACAGGTGAGACGTTAAAGCAACAGAGCATTTACTAGGCAAATCTGGGAAATACGAACATCAAAAAATTGTGATAATAAAAGACTGTAATCTTTCATTAGATTTATTTTTATTTTTAAATTTCAGCAAGTAATAAATGCTCGAAATAAGATAGCAACCCATGAGTTCATACCAACTTAAACAAATATATAGAGCCAGGCATAGTGGCTCATGCCTGTAATCCTAGCACCTTGGAAGGATGAGATGGGTGGATTGCTTGAGCTCAGGGGTTCAAGAACAACCTGAGCAAGAGTGACACTCTGTCACTATAAAGATGGAAAAACTAGCCTGGTCTTGTGGTGGGCACCCATGGACCCAGTTAATTGGGAGGCTGAAGCAAAAACAGTATGGCTTAAGCCTAAGAATTTGAGATTGCTGTGAGCTATGACACCAAGGCCACTATACCCAGGGCGACAGAGACTCCATCTTTTAAAAATAAAATACGGGTAGAGGATAAAGTTTTTTGGTTTTTTTTAGAGACAGTCTCACTTTATTGCCCTTGGTTGAGTGCCGTACCGTCACAGCTCACAGCAACCTTCAACTCCTGAGCTTAGGCGATTCTCTTGCCTCAGCCTCCCAAGTAACTGGGACTACAGGCGCCCGCCACAACACCCGGCTATTTTTTTGTTAAAGTTTGGCCGGGGCGGGTTTGAACCCACCACCCTTGGTATATGGGGCCATTGCCCTACTCACTGAGCCACAGACGCCGCCCCAGGAGAAAGTTTTTAATTGCCATGGAATGTTAATTGATGGCTGCAGAAGAAATGATAGAAATACAAAAATTATAATTTGGCAATCATAGTAATAACTAATTCAGACAAGAAACATCAATGTGTACCAAAACTAGTACGTGAACGTTTGACGAGTAATGAGGTATTTACATAGTTTCAAATAGCTCCTTGCAAAACATGTATTGATTAAAAGGGAGAAAGGAAGCCAGGGGCATGGCTCACTCCTGTAATCCTAGCACTCTGGGAAGCCAAGGAGGGTGGATCACTTGAGCTCACAGGTTCGAGACCAGTTTGAGGAAGAGTGAGACCTCCCCCACCCCATATAGGCTGGTGTGCTGGCTCACGCCTGTAATCCCAACACTTGGGGGGCCGAAGTGGGTAGACTGCTCAATCTCACACGTCCGAGACCAGCCTGAGCCAGAACGAGACCTCGTCTATAAAAACAACAACAACAAACAGCCGGGCGTTGTGATGGGTGCCTATAGTCCCAGCTACTTGGGAGGCTGAGGCAAGAGAATCGTTTAAGCCCAAGAGTTTAAGGTTGCTGTGAGCTGTGACGCTACAGCACTCTACCGAGGGCGACATAGACGGTCTTAAAAAAAAAAAAAAGGGTGTGGGGTAGAAAGGAACTTTATACTTGATAAACCTGGCAGCTATCATTTTAATCAGTGATCAAGTGATTTGTTCCTTTACCTCACCTGTCCCTATTTGGAGAGGACTTGGGGCATCAAGGGTCACAGCCAGCACTAGTTTGCAGTCACGCCAGCGAGCCACCTTTTTTTTTTTTTTTTTTTGAGAGTCTCACTTTGTCATTTTGTCATCCTGCGTAGAGTGCCGGGCGTCACAGCTCACAGCAACCTCCATCTCTTGGGCTTATGCGATTCTCTTGCCTCACCTCCCAAGTAGCCGGTACTAGAGGCACCCACTACAGCGCCCGGCTATTTCTAGAGACCGGGTCTCGCTCCGGCTCAGGCTGGTCTGAACTCGTGAGCTCGGGCGCCCACACGCCTCGGCCTCCCAGGGTGCGGGGATTCCAGGCGTGAGCCCCGCGACCCGCCACGTAACCACTGCGGAGGCGGCAGACCGCCAGCCCAGCCAGGCCCTTGGCTAGCTGCAGCACCAGCCAACATCTGACTTGAGCCTCACGAAAGCCCAACAGCCAGAACCATTCAGACAACTTTTCTTTGGAGATTACAGATCTGGATCTTTCCAGCTGCATTCCAGAAACCTCTTCGGCAGCGTAGGCAGAGCCCGCCGGAAGTCAGCGGCTGAAAGTGGATTAGAGCCTCAAGGTCCCCAAGGCTCAGCGTCTTATAGGCACCTTGGGTGTTTTCCGTGCAAGTACACACCCTCAGAAGTCAAATCCTGGCTCTCCAACGCCTCTAGCTCCCTTGAGCCGCGAACAAGTCTGCTAAAGAGACTGCCGTCCCACAGCAGGTGAAACCGGCTCAGGCGGCGGGACTTGGCTCGGCTCACAGCACCCTGTTCCGTGGAGCTGAGTTGGCTCTGTGGGCAGGTCCACGTCATGTGGAGGGGAACCCATTCGGTGGGCGGGATTACGCTCGGTGGGCGGTGCTTCTCTGTTTACGACGTGCCCGGGGTGGGGCTACGCTGGATGGGAGGAACGACGACTAGTGAGCTGAATCCTTACTGGCTACCTATTCCCGGAACTTCCTGGGCCTTGTGGGTGCAGATGACGTTGCCGGGACTGAAGGAAGTTGCACGCGGATATCAAACGTCTGGTGAGAGATTAGTAAAGACATTTTCCGGCGGGCTTTGGCGTGAAATTTATGGGGGTTGGGGTGGGATTGGACCGGCTTAGTGCATCTGGCTCCGAAGCTGGATTCTGTCGTGCTCTGCCTTTTGCAGCCCTACGGGGCAGCAGCCCGAAACCCTGGGACCTGTTGGGCCTTCCTCTCTTGGCAGGGTCCCCAGTTTTTGGCTATCTTTCCAGATCACAGTTTCTCGTGGTTATAAGAGAATTTGCTTATCCCCCTCCCCACGACCACAGTATTGTCTTCTCCAGGAATCCCGCTCACGTCCCCAACTCTAGTAGACCTCTCCCTCTTGTGTCCCCACTTGTATGTTAATCTGTAACACCTAGCATGTGTCCATGTTCCATATATATGTTACTTATATGTAATACATATTATACCTGTCATGCTTATTTGTGTATGTTCTGTATATGTCACGTTTGTCGCTTGTGTGTGTATATACACACATACATTTATTTATCAGTTGTGTCCCACAACTGACATAGTAATTGATTAACAAATACTAGATGAGTGATTGCTTTTTGATTACTATTGGGAGGATTTTAGATTACTTGATTTGGGGAGTTTTATCGTGTGTTTTTTGTAATAATCATGTTTTAAGTAGAAGTACTATTGGGTTTCAAAAGCGTTGCTGCCTCTGTTAATAGTTTCCTGAGGGTATACCGAAGGAAGATGAAAATTTCGATCAAGAGATACTGTGTGAGCTAAGGAAAGGATGTGTGAGGTGTCTTCCAAGAACAACTAGTAGTCTAGGTTGGCTAGTGCAGTGTATATAAAAAGGTGGCCGGAGGTGTGTTTGAAATTTAGGCTAGATCGACGGTAACAGGAATATGCTAGGCCAAGGCATATTGCCCCTTAGGCACTGGGAACAGCCACTGAAGGTTTTTAATGTCGAGGTTAGTCACATGGCATTGTGCCAGATGGCCAGTTGTGTGGATGGTTTAAGCCAGGGGTAGGCAAACTTTTTGTAAAAGGCCAGATAGTAGGCTCGGCGCCTGTTGCTCTAGCGGCTAAGGCGCCAGCCACATACACCTGAGCTGGTGGGTTCGAATCCAGCCCAGGCTCGCCAATGATGGCTATTAATAGCCAGGTGTTGCGGCAGGCGCCTGTAGTCCCAGCTACTTGGGAGGCAGAGGCAGGAGAATCGTTTGAGCCCAGGAGTTGGAGGTTGCTGTGAGCTGTGATGCTACAGCACTCTACCCAGGGTGACAGCTTGAGGCTGTGTCTCAAAAAAAAAAAAAGGCCAGAGAGTAAATATTTTAGGCTTCATGGATCATAGTTGTGCCAGGAAAACATCCATAGACAATACATAATTGAGTGGATATAACTGTGTTTCAATTAAACTTTAGTTACAAAGACGGTTACTGGCATGAGTGGTCCATGGGCATAGTTTGACAACCCGTGGTTAATCACATGGACCTAAGGACTGCAGCAGTAACCCGGACCTGAACTAGGCAATACTACACCAAAGTTTTATATTGCTTTTTTATTTGTATCAGATGTTAGCTCTGATCTAGTCTGCCTGGCTTTAAGTCCTGGCATCGCCTGGTTTATGTGATGTTGGGCAAACTATCTTCTCTTTGGATCAGTTATTAAATGTAAAGTGGGGATAACAGTACTTCCCATAAAGGTGGTTGTGAGTAGTAAATTAGGTAAAATAAATGATATGAAATGTTAGCATAATGCTTGTACATATAAGCAAAAGCTCAACAAAAGTTAATTATTAGTATTTTAAAAATTATTTTAACATGCATTATTAAGACAGATTTGAGAGGTGTTTCTAAGGTAGAATTTACCAGCTTAATGTACATCTGGCCTCAGAGGGAAGAAAATATCCAAGGTTTCAAGGCAAGAGCCATTCACAGGGAGATGATGTAAAAGTCATAAAGTAATTTAAGTGGCCTAGCATGGTGACTCACACCTGTAATCCTGGCACTCTGAGAGGCTGCAGCAGAGGAATGCTTGAGGTCAGGTGTTCTAGACCAGCCTGAGCAAGAGTGAGACCCATCTCTACTAAAAAATAAAGGAATTAGCTTGGAGTTGTGGCAGGCACCTGTAGTCCCCAGTACTGGGGAGGCATAGGCAGGAGGATTACTTGAGCCCAGGAGGTTGAGGTTGCAGTGAGCTGTGATGACATTACTGCACTCTATCCCAGGCAACAGAGCAAGACTCTGTCTCATATACGCCAGGTGCTGAGGTGGCAGAAAATAATTAGATACATGCTCTGTATGCAAAAAACAAGAAATCTAGTAGGGAGAAAGACATGGAAATAATTTAATTCTTTCAGCAACTTTTAACCCTTTGACTTCAGAGTGCTCAGAAATGAAGCATGCCAACTGAGGTGTGCAGGGATCTCAATAACCATTACAAAACTGGGTATGCTACTGGATGCTTTAGGGTTTCTTATTAAAATAATTCACCCAAGGGTGGCGCCTGTGGCTCAAAGGGGTAGGGCACCGGCCCCATAAGCCGGAGGTGGCGGGTTCTAAGCCCAGCCTCAGCCAAAACTGCAAAAAAAAAAAATCACCCAAGTTGATTCCTGTTTCAATATGCAAAAAATTAATATGAAATGATAAAACTTTGCCATATCATTAAAAATTTAATAATCTTTTTTATATGTTACAACTCAAAGTACAGTTAAATACATAATCTACCATTATGTTGTATGCATTGATACTGTGTTTCACTTCATTTTTTGTTTTCTGCAAATACATGTCTGGTGGGCATTTTGCCATATTCCTGTTGGATAGCTATACTCTGATGGAAAATGTCTTTCTGTGAGACAGAATGTGTTGGAATCAGAAACAGTTCTTCCTACAGAGTTGTACAGTATGATTAACCAAATGTGCTGAAAATAGCTGGAAAGCCTTAAAAATGGATAATTTGTTATGACTATTGGCTTTTATTCCTGATATCAAAATCATGTATTTTTAGATTCAAATTGTCTTCTCTCTATTGAAGTAGCCGAGGATTGACTTATTTTAAAATTGAAATAGGTTCTACACTTTCATTTTCCAAATCAGATTCTGAGGTTCACTCGAATCATGCGACAGTTCACACTTTTGTGAGAGGTTTTTTTTTTTTTTTTTTGAGACGGAGCCTCAAGCTATCCCCCTGGGTAGAGTGCCATGGCATCACGCTCACAGCAACCTCCAACTCCTGGGCTTACTCGATTTTCTTGCCTCAGCCTCCCAAGTAGCTGGGATTACAGGCGCCCACCACAACGCCTGGCTATTTTTTGGTTGCAGCCATCATTGTTGTTTGGCGGCCTGGGCTGGGGATTCGAACCCGCCACCTTAGGTGTATGTGGCTGGCGCCTTAGCCGCTTGAGCCACAGGCGCCGAGCCTGTGAGAGGTATTTTTAAAGTTGCCTCTATATCCAAATTCTCCAACAATGATTCAGTCTTCTGAACTTCACTCTTCAAATTTATCTTACCCCATATTTATATATACTCCCACAAGAATCCACTATTTGTACAAATTATTTCAGGCACAACTGTGAAAAATATTGAGAAAGAAGCGTATGATGCTTATAGACTCAAGTCAAGTAATATAACAGTAACATCTATCCTCAAAGTTTTGTTTGCAAAATCAACAATGCCTACAGGCATCATTCACACCAAAGGAGCTTCTTATGTTGATCGCCTTTAGGCTTACCAATACCAGACATCTTGTTTGAATTAAACTGTTTGCAGTAAAAAGGTTAAAATAATCAGGAGTATGATGGGATTTCTTAGACACAATTGGTACCTTTACTTTAAAAACTTAAAATGATGTTCATGATGTGGGGGGTTTGACTGAACTTATTTTCTTCATTTCCTAGACAATGGCCAAGAACAAATTCAGAGGGCAGAAGTCCAGGAATGTATTTCACATAGCCAGCCAAAAAAACTTTAAGGCTAAAAACAAAGCAAAACCAGTTACCACTAATCTTAAGAAGGTAAGTATTTTAAAGTACTCTTGACTTCAGCATTTCCAAGCAAAGCACAGTTGTAAGCTACTAAACAACTGGATATCTTATTTTTTAAAATGGTTCTTTGTGGCCAGACGTGGTGGCTCACGCATGTAATACTAGCACTCTGGGAGGCCTGCAGATTGCTTGAGCTCAGTAGTTTCAGACCAGCCTGAGCAAGAGGGAGACCTTGTCTCCACTAAAAATAGAAAAAATTTCCCTAGCGTTGTGGCAGGCGCCTGTAGTCCCAGCTACTGGGGAGGCTGTAGCAAAAGGATTGCTTGAGCCCAAGAGTTGGAAGTAGCTGTATGAGCACTCTACCAGGGGTCTGAGTAAGACTGGCTGGAAGAAAAAAAAAAAAGTTCTTGCCTTTGTAGGAAGGCAAGAAATGTAAGAAAAAAAGCATTGTAAGTGCAAGTATATAAGGCTTTGTATAGCATCCTGATAGCTTCATTAGAGCATAAAAATCATTAAAAACTGAGGTGTCAGAAACATTTCTTATCTCTGAACTCATAATACATCCAGGAACCTATTAGTAGAGCCAGGACATGGGATGTCAGTGAACCTCTATTCTTTTTTCTTCTAATTGTTATCTGAGGATATCTGAAACTCAAATAAAATCCACCTTGTGGCCCACTGTGCAGATTATTTGAGGCCTATCTTGCTAATTTGTGGTGTCAAGTATCACAAAAAATATGCAGGGACCTTTTTTTGCTCATTTTGTGTATTCAGTGTGTGACCCAAGACAACTCTTATTCTTCCAATGTGCAGCAGGAGAAAAGAAAAAAGGTTGGACACCCCTGCAAGATAAACTTACTTCACAACGTGGAAAATTTGAAAAGGGTGTTGTTTATATTTCAAACACTTGAGAAATTTCTTCATAAATTAAGTAGATTCTTTTAAGAAAATATCTTAGGAGAATGTTTCCAAGTTTCAGTAGTAGGCAGAGTCAGCTCTTCAGGACTCAGTAATTATCATAATAGTCCATAGAATATACCAAACATTTTATCTGCAGCCTTTGTAAGCTGAAGTTATACAGTTTTATGATTTTGTAAATGCAAAAAACAAAGTGGAATAATGTGATGTGGGTTTGACAATGACTATTCTACATAGGCTTGTCATCATAGTTGACACGGAAGCCAAGACCAGAATTGCAAGGAGTAATGCAAAGAGCTCAGAAGTGCTTGGATCAGTGTCGAGATCAGTGTGTGCTAGGCAGAGGTGAGAGTGCAACTCTACTGTCAAGTACAGAGGCAACTCTACTAGCAAGTGCAGAGGCTCTGATAGGGAAAAGCTTGTTGAGGAAGATCATTTTTGTTTGAAGAGGAGACTAGAACTTTACATGTGTTAATAAGCAGATCTAATAAAGACTTGTGGGTGAGCAGCATAAAGTGGAAAGGAGCTGATGGTTTTGCAGGAGAAACTGGTAGCAGGAATCAAAAATAAGACCATTATTCCAATCTCTTATACTCAGAAGAGGACTACAAGGGACGCTGTCCTCAGGCAATTTCCACTAAAACAAAAAGGTCAAGGAAGGACTCAGAGTTGTACTGTTATTAACAGAAGGCATGAAAATTTCATCTAGTTTCTTGTTGTATTGATAAAAGATGATAGCACCATCACCTAGAAGAATCATGGTCACTGCTGTTCCTTCTTTCCCAGTCACTTAACACTTAAAGATTAGGGGAGGGGTTCCCCACACCAAGCAGTTCTGCAAGTGAATTTCCAGTAGGTAGTAGCTGGGTGTCCTCTAATTTAATTCAAATCTGACACTCTACCTGGAGATGGCACCAGACCTCATAGGTTGAAGGTTCAGCCCCGACAATACTGCCCTCTCCTTGTGATGCCAGTTGTAAGCCCCAGGTTTTTTCCCTGAACCTCTGACCCCCATAACCTCCTCGTTGGGTTTGCTAGTGTAGTTCACAGAACCCAGGGAAACACTACTTTCTTTTACTGGTTTATCATATTGTAAAGGATGTAACAAAGGAGACAGATGTACAGCCAGATGGAAGAAATGCCTAAGACAAGGGGTGTATGTGGGAAGGAGCGTGCTGGTGCTTCCTTGCCTTCTCTGGGCATGCTACCCTGCCTCCATGTGTTCAGCTATCCAGAAGCTTTCCAAACCCTGTTCTTTTGGAGTTTCATGGAGGCTTCATTATGTAGGCATCAAAGTCTCATTGGCCATCATTGATCAACTTAACCCTCAGTCTCCTCTTCCCCTCCCCAAGTTAAAAGTCCCAACCCTCACTCAACAATTTCTGGTGATCAGCCCCTATCCTGAAGCTATTTAATATTTAGAGACCTGTGGTCACCAGCCATCTCATTAACTTTCAAAAGACATTCTTAACCCTCTGGAGATTCCAAAGATTTTACAAGTTATATGACAGGAGATGGGGATGGAGATCAAATACATATGTATATGTGTGTGTGTATATTATTATGAGTCACATAATATATATATGTGTGTATATATATATGTATATATACATATATATATCTTATTATGAATCATTTTATCACAGTCACATACTTTGGCCTTCTAACATCCACATAAATCTTATTTTTAAAAAACATAAGCCACATAGCCGCATAAATCTTATTTTTAAAAAACCAAGGCTCGGCGCCTGTGGCTCAAGCCGCTAAGGCGCCAGCCACATACACCTAAGGTGGC